CAAAAATGAACTTACCAACATTGGAGGAACTAACGGCAGGCAACGATGAGGAGGAATTATGGTTGCTTGCAAGAGGTATCGCCGGAGCTGGCCGCTGGGGACTGTTGGTGGAGCAATTATTGCTGGATGAAGTTGTTGCATAGACTGCCGGAGGTAGCGAGGAACCATTGGAGGAACTGGATGAACCTTGTGAAGCACGACGTTGCTGAACATTCGTTAGCATTGTTGATGTAGCACCACTCGCTGAACTTTGCACCGATTGCGACGACTTCCTGCAATTCACTGATATGTTTCAACAGTGAAAGACCAAATATATTCGCTGAAATTCGCTTCTTTTGACATACTTCATATATTTAATAAATTTTCAACAGTAGCTCGTTACATTGGAGATTTTACTGAAAATCAGAGGCTTAGCAGTGGAGCCTCCGTGAAAATGCCGTAAAATGATGGAAATTTTAGTGAAAGAAGAGTCCATAAAAAACAAAACAGTGGAGTAGAAAAGTCTTTCATTCTGGATATACTTGAGTGAATTCTAACGAGCGCCTACCAAAGGTATTTAGTGCAGGAAATGTGCAGCCAAAATCAACAAGCATGTCTCAAAGCTTGAAATCAAAAGTACAGCAATAAAGGTAATTTATGCAAAAAACAGCCACATACGGAAAAAGTCTTCGGTAGTTGCGATTCTCTAAAACTGCAAAAGTTAAAAATATCATGATGAAGAACAGTAAATGACGCTCGCTGCCAAAATTACCATAACCCTTTAGCACTCATCTCTCTACAGGGGGAAAAAAAACTGAATTATTCGAGTTCTATCGCATTTAGTATCGTCCGTATAGCTGCAGCAGCTGCTATTTCGCTGACCAGGGAACAAGAATCGATGATGGGAACGACAATAATGCTCCCACAAAAAAAATATATATACCACCCAGAATCGAAATGTACCATCCGGCTCAGCTATAGCCGAACTGCTAGTTGCAAAAGCTTTCACCAATTTATAGCTTTTTTTTGCCCTCCCCTCCCCGCTCCGCCTGAACTGCACTCTCAACTCCTCCACAAATTCTTCTAAATTTCACCTCCCACAAAATATGCATACCCATTTTGATGCGGAAGAAAAGTGGCAGGTGTAAAAAACAGTCCACAAAACTTGCCAACTCCGCATGAAATTTAGTCGAGCAAAAGCGCATGAATCGCGGAAATTTAGTTCTTTAGAATTTTCTTCCCTCCCCTTCTGTCGGCTGAATTTCTGCCTGAGCGAAGTGTGACACTTGCAAAAGTTCACATACATGTACTTTTAGGCCCCATATAAACAAAGTATTATTATCATTATCATCATCATCATTATCGTTATTGCTATTATCGTTGTCACCGTTAGTACTGTTATACTGTCATTAATATTTACTGTTATTTGCTATAGTCTGAATTCACGAAAAACTAACTGGAACAAAAAGCAGTAACGTTTTTTGGAAACTGTACAATGCTCATACCCACAGCAAAATTAACAAAAACAATGATATTAGCAATATCGAAGCAACGCTATAAACAATAAGCACGGATAACCGACTCATTCAGCCCAGACACGAGAGCAGATGAGGAAACAGGAAACGAACTTCTCAATGAATCCCGAAATTCGAGCCTTCATAATCTGGTGCTGAGCACAGTGGAACAAAACAACACAACATAAACGAGGAAATCTCAATCAAAGCCAGCTGTGAAGCATTTTACGATTTCACCGTACTGGCAAATCTGATGTGCTAATACGTGGCGCCTATGTCTCTTCGAATCCACAAAAGGAACAAAAAAACTAGATGGTTTCAGAATCTGTTTAGATGGTACTGCGAAGTACACGGAGTAAGCCGTTTGTAGCATCCATGTTGAGGGGTGCCAAAATAAGGGAAGTGTATATAAAGAGGAGAAAAGTAGGCTAAAACT